TGAGTAGCTGGGACTACAGGCGTGCGCCACCACACCCAGCTAATTTTTGTATTTTTAGTAGAGATGGGGTTTCACCATGTTGGCCAGACTGGTCTCAAACTCCTGACCTTAGGTGATCCACCCACCTCGGCCTCCCAAACTGTTGGGATTGCAGGCGTGAGCCACTGCGCCCAGCCTGAGATACTATGTAAATCTTCATCTGTAATAATAATTTCTTTTAATAGCATTTGTAACATTTCCTCATTGTTAAATGAGAAAATACACAATTTCTGATATTTTCTCAACTTAAGCCTCTTTCAAAGTTGGTGACTATTCACCCAAAAGTATACAGATGATTCCCAACTTAACATGGTTTGAATTGGAATTTTTCAACTTTACAAGGGTGCAAAGCTGATACACATTCAGAACGCTCTACTTCAAGTACACATACAACCATTCTGTTTTTCATTTTTAGTACAGTATTCAATATTCAACACTCTGTCACAAAGTAGAATTTGGATGACTTTGCCCAACCGTAGGCTGATGTGTGTTCTGACCACGTTTATGATAGGCTAGGCTAAGCTATAATGTTCCACAAGTCAGGTATATTAAATGCACTTTAGACTTCTGATATTTTCAATTTACAATGGGTTTATGAGGAGCATCTGTACTGACAAAGATTTAGCAGCAACATTATACATAAAATACAACTGTTACGACTTTCTTAAAAGATCAAATATAAATTATGACAATAATTTTCTCAAGATCAGATACTTACACATCAGCCAAAACTATCCGCGTCCGTGTCACATTCTCAATGGTGAATTTGGTTTTTCCTCCTTTGCCAGCGATTCTTCCTATTGCCCTGGATAGATGGTCTCCCTTTAGGGGTTTAACTAAACAAGAAAAGCAACATCTCAGGAGGCAAGCCATTCTAGTGCACCACCCACTTCCACATGAAGTTTAATTATAAACTAAATTTCTCTAAATGACACAAAGTGTATATATACATATTAAAAAGTTGCTAAAAATACAGCTCAATTGATGCTATTAGAAAACTGAGAGTCACATCACAATACAAAGTCAGCGACACAAGAGCACAGACCACCACACACTCACCATCAGTAATTTCAAAAGACTCTAGGAAGAGGTCATCCAACCTGATGAGGGCAAGTGCATCCTATAATATAAAACAAACACTGTGAAGCCCCTTCCGTTTGCACACCTGAAAAAGAGTAAAGTACAAAGCACTATGGAACGAAAATCCACAAACTCTAGAGCTAGAAAGCTTTTTTCTTTTTTTGGAGACACAGTCTTACGCTGTTGCCCAGGCTGGAGTGCAGTGGCGTGATCTTGGCTCACTGCAACCTCCGCCTCCCAGGTTCAAGTGATTGTCCCACCTCAGACTCCCGAGTAGCTGGGACCACAGGCTTGTGCCACCACACCCGGCTAATTTTTTTGTAATTTTAGTAGAGACGGAGGGCATTGCCATGTTGGCCAGGCTGGTTTCGAACTCCTGGCCTCAAGTGATCCACTTGCCTCGGCCTCCCAGAGTGCTGGGATTACAGGTGTGAGCCACTGCGCCTGGCCTTTTATTTTTTTTTTTAATGCCTAGTCCATTGAGATGTTCACATTGAGTATTTTTCAAGTCCCCATTTTAGATATTGTAGAATTACTCACCTCCACCTGAAAGCCTAGAATAAAAGCTTTCACAAAATCAGCTGCTTTTGTCAGAGCACTAACATCTTTGGTTTCTTTACAAGTCTGTTAAAAAACAAAAAAGGGTACAAAATATCGTTGAGAATCAAACAGAAAATGTCCTAATGAAATACTAGAAATGTCCTTTCCCATTATCAGAGAATTTCCTTCACTACCACGTTTCCCTAATATATTCTGTATGACACAGGTTCTGGTTGGATAAGTGCTATATTTTATTGGCAAAACAAAACCTTTCCAGCTCCAAAGCTTGGCTGTTTCACCCAAAGAGTGTCAAATAACTAACCACACTATATGATCAGATTTTGGGGTTAACAGCAAGACTCCTCTGGCACAACCCAATTTCTTGCATTCTGAAGAACCTCTACCTTCTGTCCATCCCTTCAATGCCCAAGCTTGTCCTCTTCTCTTCTCTCTCAAGGCAGTCTTCCCTGGGATTCCTGACTTAATCTTCTTAGTTATCATTTACATGCTGATGTTTCTTAAACCAATAGCTCCAGGCCTAACTACCTGCACCCGCTGACTGGGGAAGTAAAGAATGACTGAAGCACTGAACCTGTTCTCAAACTTTATTTGAGAAATGCAGAAATAACTGTTATTCATAAAATGCCTACCACTGTAAATAACACACACTGTAAATAACATGCACTATAAATAACATGCTTTACACGCCATAACTCTAACCCTCACAACAACTTTGAATGTTAAGTCATATGACTACCTTTGCATGTGAGGAAACTAAAGTACTAAAAAGCAAAAATACTAAGATTCAAACACAGGTCTGATTTCAAAATTGTTACTTCCACTGTACCATGCACATTTACAATCTAGTTGAGGAGGCCATGTACTCAACAAATTTAAAACCATATGGGCTTGTGTAATGGCAAAGTCCCCGGGGCTTTCCCATTTAGAACTAGACCCTAGTTCCAATCCTACATGTGACCTTAGACAAGTCTCCTAGTTACTTTAGGTCTTGAGTTTTCTCATCAGTAAAATAAGGAGGTCAGAGTAGAAGATCCTGAGTGTTCCCTACTAGTATAATAGGAAGTTTCCCTTATTAGCCTGATGACTATGGCCAAGTTTCCTCACATCTTTAAGATGGGAATATCCTGAAGTCTAAATGATGTAGAGCATGTTGTAATACCACTATGTGTCTGGTATATGGCAGCATCAATAAATGTTAGTGGAATCCAAAGTGATTATCCTGCAATAAATAGGACAGTAAAGCACATGAAAAGTTTAGGCACTGAAGATATGACTGAAAAATGGACATTCTGGTATGAAATTGGCACCCAGAACAGAAAGCCCAAAGTAAATTAATTTTAAATGTCTAGTTCCTGGATTGACAGCATGGAATTTAAAATACACATATATAGGCCGGGCAGGGCAGCTCACGCCTGTAATCCCAGCACTTTGGGAGGCTGAGATGGGCAGATCACCCGAGGTCAGGAGTTCAAGACCAGCCTGGCCAACATGCTAAAACCCAGTCTCTACTAAAAATACAAAAATTAGCCAGGTGTGGTAGCGGGCGCCTGTTAACAGTGAGCCGAGAGCGTGCCACTGCACTCCAGCTTGGGCGAAAGCGCAAAATTAAAAAAAAATACATACACACACACACACATATGTGCATATGTTTCTTATCAAAATAATACAGTTTTATCAAAAAAGCACCATTAAAACACAGCCATGCACTGCATAATGACATTTTGATCAATGACCAACTGCTCATACCATGGTGGTCTCATAACAGTATAATGGAAAATATACAGAAATCTGATATATGGCACTGGATACTGGCAATGCAGATCAAGTAGATGAAATGACTGATACTCAGTAATGGTGCTGGAACATTTGGTTTTCCATATGAAAAAATACATAAACAAATATACACATACCATCTAGGTTTGTGTAAATACACTCTTCGCACAAGGACTAAGTCATCTGACAAAACATATCCAGAACATATCCCCGACGCTGACTGTATATACTTCTTGTAAAGCAGCAAGTACTTATGTTCATTATTTACTTACTTCTGTTTATGACAATCTCTTTACTCGACCTTTTCTGAATTTGACACAGAACATTACAAAAGATACACAGAAGCAGAGACAGTATTTTGGTATGATCTCAGAACTAATCTACACATTCAATTAATATTTGTATCAAACGCAGATTTTTAAGGCATTTGGGAAGTTCAAACTCAATATGGTAAGTTTTTAAACTGGACAAAAACTATTCAACACAATAAATCCCATTAACTAAAGTCTATTCACGCCTTTTCATCTCTGTAGGAGAGAAAGCCTGGTGTATTGGGAAATGGTTGAGATTTTCCTTACCCTGATTTCTACATTCCTTGATTTCAAGTTAAAGCGTATCTGAAGTCCCAAATGTTCCACAATAGGAGTAAATATCTTCATCCAGTTTTCTTTCAATGGTGTGTATCTGTTAGCTGGGACTGGAATTTTCCTTGTTTCTTCTTTTCCACTCTGTAATAAAAGAACACACAACTCAAAAGGCTATGGAGGGATGGTGATGGAGTTGTAGAACGACATCTGATCCATAAAAGGCCTCCTTTAACTGAACTAGTTACACTTCAAAGAATCACTTCTCTCAGAGCATCGCGGCACAACAGCCCCCCCGCAGCTTCAACATTCCCCAGAGGCCACCGGCTTGATCCGCGTCTGGCCCTTGCCTCATTGCTGTCCTAGGGTTCTAGCCACATACCAGGAGCCCGTCCCCACAGAGGGGTGGGAAGACGGGCCTCTTCGCCGGCCTGGCCTCCTCTGTGTCCATCCGGCCCGCATCCCCGCCCTCTCCCGCTGCGGACAGCTGTTCAGCCTGTCGTTTCTTCGCCCGCCGGCCACCCTTACGGGTGACCTGGGTAAAGCCCTCCTCTGCTCCGGCGCTCTGCGCTTCCATTTCGGATTCCATCTCCCGGAATCTTAAGGCGCTTCCGGCTGAAACACGTGCGCTCTTGCACCGCGCAGGAGCCAGCCTCCGCCAACTAACTCCGCAGCTCCGCCCCTTTCCTAAAACGTCACAGGCCGGGGACCTGCAGGATTTGGGGCAAGGGGGAAAACGGGATTTCGGCTGTCCTAAGTATGCCTGATGCTCATGGTCTCACTCCAGCCGTGCAACTCCCATCCCAAGTATTTTATAATCTCTAATATGTATGTGTGCGAAAGGCAGTGGGTAAAGGCAATAAAGAAATTTGTGCTGTTGTGAAGGAACATTCTGTGCGATCGCCGGAGCGCATCTGGCATTATCTGGAGATAACTACAGCCAACTTCCTAGGGCAGCTGGGGCAGAATACGGAAAGCGGGAGGGACAAATTGCCAATGTTTGGAGTCTGGTTTCCAGGTTAGTGTTTTGGGGGGCTCTGGGTGTGGCGGTTGTCGGAACTGAAATTGGCTGCACCATGTCGGCCTTCGAGAAGCCTCAGATCATCGCCCATATCCAGAAGGGCTTCAACTACACGGTGTTTGACTGTAAATGGGTGCCCTGCAGCGCCAAATTTGTGACCATGGGCAACTTCGCACGGGGCACCGGCGTCATTCAGCTGTACGAGATCCAGCACGGGGACCTGAAGCTGCTTCGAGAGGTGGGTGCCGGGTCGACGATCCGGACTGCCGTTGGGGGCGAGTGCGGATCCTGGGGTCTGCATTCCTCTTTGCCAGAGCCTTCGTCCAGCGTCCCCCAAAGCATGGCTTGAGCCGCGCGAGACCAGAGAAGCTGACCGCCGACTGAAGAATGTTTCCCATTTAAAACCTCTTTCTCATCCGCGGGGTAGTTCCTCCGCGCCCAACCCTCCTGCCACCCCAAGTGCAGTCCAGCCAAAGCGGGCACCAGGATGCCTGCGGTGTGGTTGGAAGAGGCAACCTAACACATTCGACAGGTATCAATTGAGTGCCTGCTATTCCTAGGCATGTGAATGGCAATGTCCCCGATCTCATGGAGTTTGTTTTCTAGTGGGAGAGATACTCAGTTCAATAATCAAAGCAACGATACATAAGTACAAACCGAGATGAGTTGTCTCACGCAAAGGAACACGGCTACGGTTCAGTGAGAGTGAAAACAGATTTTGGTATGTGCGGGAGCTAACTAGGCCAAACTAGGAGTAAAGGACACGGTTTCCAGGGCTTCTGCACATGCAGAAGCTCAGTGATGGGAAGAAGTTTATCCTCTTAAGAAACTAGAGGGATAAGCAGGAACCAGACATTGCAAGATCTGTAGGACATTCAAAGGATTTATGCCTTTTTTCTAAGAAAAATGGGACATGATTGAAAGGATTTAAGCAGGGTGTGGAAAGATTAGGTTTACAAGTTTTTGTTTTTGTTTTTTTTTTTTTGAAGATTACTAGTGAAAGAATTAGAGAATAATGATAGTAACTAGCATTTTGTAGCTGTTTATAGTTTTTAAAAAGTCTTGATTTCGGTTACCTGAAAAAAAAAAAAAGATCAGTCGTAGTCAGATCAGAGTTGTAATAGACTACAACTGTAAGTGCAGGGTAGGTTAAGAACTCTGGGGATCAAAATCTATGGAGAAAATCGGCTTGAGGAGGTAGGGATTAAACTGGTAGATAAAGGATGGATACAATTTGGACTGTTACGCCTAGAATAAAAAGTATGTAAGACCCCATTCCGCTTTAAATTTCCCTGCATGACAAACATGAAACATGGCTTATTCTTTTCTACCTTTCCTTATATTGTTCATCACTTAGCTTCCAGTAACCAGTGGCTTTTTTTTTTTTTTTTTTTGAGACAGGGTCTCAATCTGTCACCCAGCCCGGAGTGCTGTGGTGCAAACACAGCTCACTGTCACTGCAACCTTCGCCTTCTCAGGTCAAGGAATCCTCCCACCCCAGCCTCCCAAGTAGCTAGGACTACAGGTGTGTGCCACCACACCTAATTATTTTGTACTTTTTTTTTTTTTTTGGTAGAGATTGGGTTTCGCCATGTTGCCCAGGCTGGTCTCCGACTCCTGGGCTCAAGCAGTCTGCCTGCCTCGGCCTCCCATAATACTGGGATTACAGGCGTGAGCCACCGAGCCTGGCTACCTGTTGCTATTCTAATGTCCAGTTCAGATTATCTAATGTGTGATGCCCTTCCTGATTTCTACACAAAGTAAAATTTCTTTACATTGCATTTTGGGTTGTTTTTGTTTTTTGTTGTTGTTGTTTAGAGATGGCGTAGCTCTGTCCCAGTCTGGAGTGCAGTGGTACTGTCATAGCTCATTGCAGCCTGGAACTCCTGGGCTCAAACCATCCTCCCGCCTCTGCCTCCCAAAGTGCTGGATCAGGTGTGAACCACCATTAAAAAAAAAAGGCATTTAAAGGATTTATTCCTTTTTCTTTTCTTTTTTTTTTTTAAAGACGGAGTCTCGCTCTGTCACCCAAGCTTGAGTGCAGTGGCGTGATCCTGGCTCACTGCAACCTCTGCCTCCCAGGTTCAAGTGATTCTCCTGCCTTAGCCTCCCTAGTAGCTGGGATTACAGGCGCCTGCCACCATGCCCAGCTAATTGTTTTGTATTTTTAGTGGAGATGGGGTTTCACCATGTTGGTCAGGCTGGTCTCGAACTCCTGACCTCAGGTGATCCACTCAGCTCGGCCTCCCAAAGTGCTGGGATTACAGAGATGAGCCATCACGCCTGGCCATTTATTCCTTTTTCAAAGAAAAATGGGACATGATTGTTTTTCTTTTTTCTTTTTTTTGAGAGAGGGTCTCACTCTTGCCTAGAATGGAGTGCAGTGGCAGGATCAGGGCTCAAACTTGTGACTTTTTAAAATAAGAACAGGCCTGGTGCAGTGGCTAACGCCTGCAATCTCAACACTTTGAGAGGCAGAGGGGTGGATTGCTTGAGCCCAGGAATTCAAGACCAACCTGGGCAACATGGCGAAACCCCGTCTCTACTTTTTGTATAAAAAAGAATACAAAAATTAGCTGGGCATAGTGATGCGAGCTTGTAGCTTGTAGTCCCAGCTACTTGGGAGGCTGTGGTGGGAGGATCTCTTGAGCCCAGGAGGTCAAGGCTACCATGTTCGCACCACTGCAGTCCGCCCTGGGTGACAGAGAGAGACTCTGTCTCAAAAAATAATAAAATGAAAATATATGATTTGTACGTATTTCAAAACTACACTTACTCCATCAAGTGGAATAGAGTACTTTGTCTTTCGTAGAGACTCTGGGGAGTTTCAGCAAATTTTAAAAAGATAATTTTCTTTTGCAGGAAAAGTAATATGTATTCATGATAGAACATTTAGAAAATAGGAAAATGAAGAAAATATCACCCATAATCTCAATGCCAGGAATAACCACTAAGTGTATTTTCACCTTGATCCTTTAGATCTTTTTTTCTACCATGAATTAGATCTGAGAACACACTATTTCAAGGTACTGTGTTTAACAAGGACCAAAGATATTTAAAAGTTGAGTCCTTTCTTCTAAAGAGCCTACTGTCTGTCCAAAAAGAGGGTACAACTAATACAGAAATACCTTTTAGAACTTACAGTGGGCCGGGTGCGGTGCTCACGCCTGTAATCCCAGCACTAAGGGTGGCTGAGGCGGGTGGATCACAAGGTCAGGAAAGCGAGACCATCCTGGCCAACATGGTGAAACCCCATCTCTACTAAAAATACAAAAATTAGCTAGGCGTGGTGGTGCGTGCCTGTAATCCCAGCTACTCAGGAGGCTGAGGCATGAGAATCACTTGAACCTGGGAGGCAGAAGTTGCAGTGAGCCGAGATCCGCCGTTGCACTCCAGCCTGGGCAACAGAGGAAGACTCTGTCTAAAAACCAAACCAAAACTAAAAAGAACTTACATTGTATTTGGCTGCTCTGGTGCAATGGAAAAAAGATTAAAAATATAGGTTAAATACTGTTCCAGTAACTCCCACTCCTTACTGTGCATCAGGATCATTTGAGTGCATTTTGTGGCTTGTGTGTATGTGTGTGTGTTTTAAAACATTTGTGCCTTGGTCCCACCCCTAGAAATTCTGACACAGTGGTACGTCTTTATTGCATCTAAGTAAGGTTTAGAAATCAGAATTTTTTTAAACTTCTGCGAGGTGATTCTAATGAGTCCCAGGGCTGAGAACCATTGAGCTAGATGGGTCACTTATTAAAATATTAGGAAACAGACTTGATTTATCATTGTAGAGCTACTCCTAAGTCATGTGCTCCAAAGCTCATGCATCTTTCTTTCTTTCTTTCTTTTTTTTTTTTTTTTAATTTATCACTAACTTGGAGCTCGCAAATCCTGTGCATCTAAGAAAAAAGGATGTAAAGGAAGCATATCAGTCTTTGTCGAAGTCTTCCTTATCTTAGTTCTAAAAGGATAGATAAGGAATGGAGGGCAGGGCCTCCATGTTCCGTTGAGCAGTTTTTTGCACCACACAAAGGTGTCTGGCTGAGTGCTCAAATGGGAGTTGAAAGCTCTTTTTCCTTCGTTAAGGCTTACATGTGTGAGGCTTCATCAGCCTCTAAAGGGCAACTATTTTTCAAATTGGCACAAAGATACCATATGGACTAGGGATGGCCCTGAAAAATGGAATCACAGTTGTAGATGTTTATATTAAAAAAAAAGCAATAAGCTAATAAAATTCTGCTTTTTTAGTCCCTGTGCTACTGAATGTACTGCTTGTTAGCATTTGGTTGGCTGGATCTTTTAATGTTAATTAAGTATTGCCAGGATGTGGAGGAGGAAGTACTGACAAGCTGTACTAGACCCACCCACATGCAGAACAAAAATAGCTCACACAGAAATTATTGATCTTGAGCTTCTTTAATCATTTTAACTTCTTCTTATAGCAAGAAAATGAACAGCTAGGTCAATTATGACCATCATTGATGGCCATTTTCAGTATCATATAGCAAAAATTGTTAGTATATACAGATTTTCTTTGTTGAACAATTTTTGCAAGATAGACCTTTTTTTTTTTTTTGCCAGTTAGTTTTCTAGCAAGAAAAATTTTGATTTACTACCAACTTATTTTCATCTTTTCTTTTCCGTAGATAAACTATCTAACGGGGCAAAGAGGGAACCCTTTTGTGAACTATGAAAAATTAGCTTCACCTTTGTCCTGTTAATTTAGCTATTATTATTATTTCCATAAACATCTGAGGAAAGAGGAAACATGCCTACTTTGTAAGTCCGTTTGCCAACAGAGCTCAGCCCTTCTGAGCAAAGCGCAGTCCTCAGTACACACAATTAATCAGTTTTAATACGTTTAATATGTTCAAGATGTACAATTTGAGTTTAATTTGGTTCTTACACAACAGACCACTAGTGTCTATAAATATCTTTGTGTTTCTTTAATATAAGAAAAGAACAAAGAACATGAGGGAAGCATAATATATTTATATCTTGTAAAGACACGAATGAAGGTAAAAACCAAAGGACAGAGATCTGAAAGTAGGTTTAATTCATGCCATTGTACCATTTACCTCAGCAATCAAGATTGGAACATTTCTTTGATACTTCCAATAACTCTCAGGTTTACAGAATGAGGACTCCAATAATAAAATGTTTATTTAATCGATTTATATATAAACCTGGAGGCAGCCTAGTTTAAAAGAAAAAGCCTGGGTTCTATCTGGCTCTTGGGACCTTAGGGAAGTCACTCAGTCCTCTGAACCTGTTTTGTCATCTTGAAAGTGGTGTTCTGAACACTTAGTTTGCAGTGTTCTATGTATTAGAAAAGGGATGGTCTAGACTGGAAGAATATCTAAAACGTATCTGATATGTAGGTATTCAATAGATGGATGCTATTTTCATGATTGCATGTCAATGACACCAGAAACTGAACGGTTTGTCAGACAGAACTCTGGCACGTGAAAGTATGGTAGGAGAAAAGAGAGAACAAAGTGAACTCCAGCCCTGGTTTGTCTGTCCCTACTCTCAGGGCTGAGAGATTCATGGATGGTCATTTATACCTTCATTCAACAAATGTTGAGTGCCTGCTATGCGTTAAAAAAATTAGGCAAGGCTCTGCTTTCATGGTGCTCACATTTTAGAAAGGGGGACACAATTGCGTGAGTAAAATATTTTTGTGCTGGTGTCAAAGAATCTGTACATTGCAGTGCTGTTTTTGGAACACCATAAAATATTGGAGTAGTCAGTTCCGTCTTTGTACAGGGAAGAGATTTTCAGCAGAAAAATCTGACACTATATATATAGATAGATAGATATTCTGATTTTTACATTGCAAGTAACCACACAGTTTTTAAGTCTTCACTTCCAAGGTTTTTTATTTTTATTAATTTGTTTTGTTTTATTTTATTTTATTTTATTTATTTTTTGAAACGGAATCTCTCTTTGTCGCCCAGGCTGGAGAGTGGTGGTGCGCTCTTGGCTTACTGCAACCTCCGCCCCCTGGGTTCAAGCAGTTCTCCTGCCTCAGCCTCCCCAGTAGCTGGGATTGCAGGTGTCCACCACCACGCCTGGCGAATGTTTGTATTTTTAGTAGAGATGGGGTTTCGCCATTTTGGCCAGGCTGGTCTTGAACTCCTGGCCTCAAGTGATCCATCCTCCTTGGCCTCCCAAAGTGCTGAGATTGCAGGTATGAGCCATTGCGCATGGTCCAAGTTTTTTTAACTGGTGTTCATTTGCTAGTATTTTCTACCAGGCAAGCTAAGAAAATTATTTTTTTTTAAACTTTAAAATTTGAAAAAAACACATCCATCGGCTTTTGTTCTTGGCGAATTTTCTAATTAATGTGTTGTGTTAGTAACAGAAGATCAGTGTGTTCCAGGAGTATAGTTTGAGATTCTCTAGTCTACAGAGTCTAAAAGTGAAAGTTAAGTAAAAGAATAACAGGGAGGAAAGTTTTTGCTTCCAGTTTTTTATTACCAACCGTAAAATTTTAGAAGACTGTAGGGACCAAAGAGTGTAGGTTAGTTTTTACCTCTTCCATGGCCTAGGAAGCACAGAAACCCTCATCAGAGGTTTCAGGGGATAGCAGTGGAATTCTGGGAAGCAGAATGCTTTAGCTGGTTGTGGGGAAGAAAATGGGCGACCAGTCTTCCCAGTGCTTCTCTGAGAAAAATGTTCCCAGAGAATTGGGTCAATAGATGATGCAAGCTCTCCACAGCTTCTAATCCCCTGTCTCCTGGAACCACATTGCTGTGCATCAGGACTACCAGCTTCTTACCTCAGAGGGTCTGCTTCCACCCTCTGCCTCAGAACATGGAAGCCATTATCAATGACTTAGAGCTGGCAAGACCCAGGTTCAGTGTGAGACCAAGGGGAGGGAGAGGTGGATAGCTGTTTCATCAGTTGGTGTAGGTTGGAACTCTGAATTAATTTCACCGTAGAAATCATGTCCTAATAGTGATTAAGTGCTTTAGCACTATTTTACATATATATATATATATATATATTTTTTTTTTTTTTTTTTTTTTTTTTTGAGACGAAGTCTCGCTCTGTTGCCCAGGCTGGACTGCAGTGGCGCAATCTCACTGCAAGCTCCGCCTCCCGGGTTCACGCCATTCTCCTGCCTCAGCCTCCTGTGTAGCTGGGACTGCAGGCGCCCGCCACCGCGCCCGGCTAGTTTTTTGTATTTTTAGTAGAGACGGGTTTTCACCGTGTTAGCCAGGATGGTCTCGATCTCCTGACCCCGTGATCCGCCCGCCTCAGCCTCCTAAAGTGCTGGGATTACAGGCGTGAGCCACTGCGCCCGGCCAGCACTATTAATATATATTTAGGTACTTTGAGGAGAAGGGAAAGGTGAGGAAAACATAAATTGGAGTTAGAAACTGTGTGTGTTGTTAAGTTGACAAAATTTTGATCCTCTGTGTTGCCCCATTTTAAGATACTCTTTCATAAAATTGGAGGAAAATGGGAATAAACAAGTATTAATTTTCTGGTGCAGTAAATAACTGATGCCATCTCAGACCACTTGTGCATTAAAAAGAGAAACATTCTGTGGTTCTGTGCTTCTCATCAATAGGGTCTTTTACAGACGTTACTGTAGATGACTGATTTCATTTACTAGACAATTCTGAGGAGGGTATGAATGCTTTTAGACTTGGCCATAGTAACTCTAATTTATCCAGATCACAAATAGTAGGAAAGTTTAACAGTCTGGGAGTTTCCAAAGCCCTATGCCATATAATGGTATCTTCTGAATCAGAGAAAAAAGTTGTTATAGTTTGTGTTAAGTGACTTTTATTTTATTCGTGGAAATTGGTATGTATACCTATATGGAAATGCCTGGATAAACACTGAAAGTGGCAGGGAAATTATTTTAAAAATTATTTGAAACAGGCCAACCTGGGAGGGATGAAAACTGAAGAGTTACAAGGGGAGATGTCCTGGAAACTGGAGAACCCTGCAAAAGGAATAAAGTTTATCTAGATGTATTGTTAAGTGAAACAAATCAAACGACAGTGTACTGTGATTTGCCTTGTATTGAAACAAACGCGTGTGTGTTTGTAAATACGTAGAAGATCTAGAAGGATGGGGATTACTTCTGAAAAGTGTTAAAGGGACTCACTTTTTCCTTCCATCCTTTTGTTTTGTTTGAATTTTTATAGGGAGCAGGTATTACTTTTATAAACATTAAGAATTTTAAAATGTAAAAATTGTTAGAGACCAAGAGGGATAGTTTTGCCCCATTGAGGCTGACAGTCAATGGGAAGTGTTATATGGCAAGAGTGTGGTGTGGGACAGACATCAGTGGCCTCATCTAATTCCAGATTGCAGAGATCTCAGGAGCCAAGGCAGCAGGAAAAGCAGTTAGACTGTAGGAGGAACTTTAGTGACCTGGGCAGGTAGAGTTGGCGGCGGGAGGGGCCGTGGAGAAATCAGAAACATCAGGAAGTAAAAGAAGGTGAATGGAAGACCCAGGGAGGTGTAGGAGTAGTATAATGAATATGTACATTTTGGAGGAACCAGATGGGAACTGATATTTGAGTTGTTAGCTTTTTGAGGGACTGGCCAATCTCATTCATCTTTGTATCCTTTTTTGCCTAGTTCAGTGACTTGCATGTGGTAGCAACCATTAAATGTTGAATGTTGTATGAGTGGGTGAATCTCTAAAGCCGTATGCTTTGGTCTCCTTTTATGACAGGAGAGTATTGTATTAGATCCTTTCCAAGGACCTTTTTGGCTACATAGTCTTCTTCACCTGATTTCCATAAGCCCCATACCTTAAATAATATATTTGTATATGATTGTTTTACTAATGTGATTATATATGATACTTGGAGCAGTAGCCTTTTAAAGTAAAGAAACCTCAAAAGATTGGCTGATCCATACCAATAGTAGTGCCTTGATACACACAGGTTTATAAACCTCTCTGCATTGAAAAGGCCCCAGAGAAAGTGGGACATAAACATCTTTAGTTTATAGGGTTCTGCAGGGAAAACTGTAAGAGACACGTAACATTTTTGTTCCCATAACCATCTGGAAAGATAATATCTTCATTATGTTCTCATTTCTGTTGAGGATCTTAAAGAATATCACATGAAATGCTGAAACTTTCATATCTGCAATAGAGATTGTAGAGCTGTCAGCATTTGAATGTCTCATTAGTGAGAGGAGAGGAAAGGCAAATTAACGCTTTTTCTTTTTGACAGTTACATACTTTAAAGAAAAATGACTAAAGGAAAAAGTGTATGATTATTTTCATCAGAAGATGTTTTAATTGCCTTTTATATTGTCTTATTTAAATGCCATAATAGAGCCATAAATATGATATTAATAGATTATAAATATCTGCTTACATAAATAATATATCCTGTCTTCCTCCTTTCTATCAAGATTGAAAAGGCCAAACCTATTAAATGTGGAACATTTGGTGCAACATCTTTACAGCAGAGATATTTAGCTACTGGAGATTTTGGTGGAAACCTTCATATATGGTAAGATGATTTAGTCAGTATTCAGACAGATGAGACAGGCAATTTATTTGATAGTTTCATTACTCTTTCTCTGAAAGAGAGAATTTTAATTTAAAAATCTTTCTTTATATGTTCCATTTTAACTATAAAAATATGAGAATTTTCTCTTAATACATATTTCTAGATTTCATATTCAAAATCCATTTAAAAATACTAACCTATTTTTCTTTAGATATTTTGGATAATATTATCAATGCTTATTTTCACACACACTGTTTGGTGCTAGCATTTAATGCCATGTATTTGTAAATAAAGGTCTATTCCCCCTCCAACTTTAAAAATACAGTATATAAAAATGCACATGAATAACATTGAAAAAGTAGGTATTAATTATTTATATTTCAGCAATAGATTTAGCACTGCAGAATGTTTGTTTTTTCAAGCTTTAACATCTAAGCACAACTTTTTAGAAGCATATCTGTTGAACAAATCAAAATAAACTTGTTTTGAATGGGCAAAATCACAATTCTGCCAAATGCCTTTTTCATATTTTACCTAGAGTTGTTTCTTATTTAGAGTGGAATGAATTGAAATTCCTTTTTAATTACTTTGTAGGAAAATCTATTATTGTAATCATTTATAGTATACAGCAGTGTTCTAAAATATTATGGAGAAAGTTCTAGAGTGTTCTAGAAAAACTATCTTTCCTGCATCATGTTTTCTAACATGACCTTTCTTGAGCCTCACTTAGAACCTGCTACTTTATAATTACATTACTTTAACATATTTATCTGTCTTAGAATCATAACATTAAACAAAATGAAGCTATTTTAATTTCTCCTTGCTTTAACTCCTTAATAATTAAATTAGCATGTATTCGTTAGTTCTTAGATGCTTTGTCATATGCTTTGAGAGATACTGGGAGAGGGGCAAGTTTGAATGCTATTTTAAAAAATAAATATATTTCAACACAAGAGTATTCAAAATATTAAATAGTACCATTGACCATCTTTCTAATATAGTGTCCTAGTATAGTACAGATATTACCAACTTACTTTCATTGATAAATCTTATAATTTCATGTTAAAAAATAATGTTTTAAAGTCTATAAAATAGTAAAACAGTCATTTCAACTAGAACCACAATCTTGTTTAATCTCTTGATTAGTTCATAATGATGGTAAATGTAATTTCTAAACTAGGTTGAAATATCTCAAAAAATTTTTCTTGTTTTTGAGATGTAGTCTCGCTCTGTTGCCTAGGCTGGAGCGTAGTGATGCGATCTCGGCCCATTGCAACGTCCGCCTCCCAGGTTCAAGTGATTCTCCTGCCTCAGCCTCCCGAGTAGCTAGGATTACAGGTGCCCACCACCACGCCTGACAATTTTTTGCGTTTTTAGTAGAGACAGGGTTTTGCCATGTTGGCCAGGCTGGTCTCAAACTCCTGACCTCAGGTGATCTACTCACCTTGGCCTCCCAAAGTCCTGGGATTACAGGCATGAACCACTGCACCTCGCCACAAATTTTGTATTAGTAAGGTTTTACTAATAAATCTTGGCCCAATAATAAATTGGGATTATATTTCATGAATAGCCACATTCATTTTAAATATCCGTAAGTTATTGAAAACTAAATTATTAAGAGAAATATAAATAGAAGTTCCAGTAGAAAAGCAAAAGAAGGGGAGAAATGGAGATCGGCAAGAAAAGGAATGTGTGAGGATCACCTAGTCAAGCCATTCATTGCCCAGTAGTGCAACTGTGGTAATCAATACTTTCCTGAATGCCTTTCTGTGAATTGACCTATTAGACGAACTTCAGCCTGTCTTTCAGTAATACATACTGTTGTACGATGACACGCTGAAAAATATGTCAGTAGATGAAAATCAGTATGTACTTCAGTGGGAAAATAGTACCTTATAAAGGAAGAAATGTGTACAAAGTAAACACTATTCATATTTTATCCTTTAAAATGGTCATCAGATCCAACTACTGAGGCCTACTTTGGAAGAATTCTAATGAATATGATGATTTAGTAAGGCCAGCTAATGGTGTCCATCTTCTGTTCACTTCCCATATTTTTGTAACAGCCACTAAAACCCAGAATTGAAAAAAATTGTCCTGAGAGCCAGGTCCTCAGATGCATGGTGGTTTTTTCTTTTCTTTTCTTTTCTTTTTCTTTTTCTTTTTTTTTTTTTTTCCTGAAACAGGGTCTTGCTCTGTCACCCAGGCAGGAGGGCAGTGGCATGATCTCAGCTCACTGCAGCCTTGACCTCCCTGAGCTTTACTGTGTATTTGAAGCAGTATTTTTTCATACTTCAGTGTACCACAGTCATTGTTTTGGGGACCCATCTGAGATCCTGATTCCTTATGTTTGAGGAGAAGCCCTTGAATCCATGTTTATCAACAAGCATACCTGGTAATTCATCTATGGGGGTCTTGGAGAGATCGTCTTTGAACACTACGTATGGTGAGCTCAGGATTAGAATTTCAAGTTGAATGATGACAGTTCTCGTTGGGGACTTGAAAGAAGCTAAATGGAGAGAAAATTTCAGAAGTGTAAATAAATGTATAAACTATCTTCATAGCAAAACCTTAATTTCTATACAAAAAAAAATCTAACTGTAATATGTGTTTTTGAATTTCAGTAGCAGACTTAAATGTTTGGGACATGTGGTGTAAAAAGCTGTGTTTGTTGTTTAGGAATTTAGAAGCTCCAGAGATGCCAGTATATTCTGTAAAGGGCCATAAAGAAATTATAAATGCCATAGATGGTGTAGGTGGACTAGGAATTGGAGAAGGAGCACCTGAAATTGTGACCGGCAGCCGAGATGGTGAGTCCATGTATTCTATGTATTTTGTTTATTTATTTTAATGGAAATCTCTATGCAGCAGTACGTCCTCCCTGAGTAAAAATCCCCTTCAGTTACCTTGACTCCCTAAATCTAACAGTCTTGCTGCTACTTTTTTAACAGGCAAGTTTGATTGCTTCTCTCTCGATTGTTTCAGACTTTTGGGTATTTGGAGATAGATTCATAGCACTTCTTACCACTATTTTAGTGTTGAGCCGGTTCAACTACTAACAATGATGGTTTCCTCTGAACCCTGAAGGATTTAAAATGTCTTTACAGGCTTTTGAGGCAGCTGACGATATAATGTGGGTGGCAGCTTTTCATTTTCTTTTTTTAAAAGGCAGAGTTAGTACTTGTGAAAATTGTCATATTGACAGCTGGTTGAAAACTGAAGTTCTGTGATCCATCCGCTGGAGAGTTCCAAAGGCACCAGCTCAGCTCTTCCACCCTGCAGTGACCAACAAGGAAGGGCCAGGTCTTTTGGTGTCCAAAGTGGTACTGCATGACTTTAATAGAGTCAGAAATGTTTTTGCTTCACGAGGGGTACACGAGAAATTTGGTACCTATTATAATTGATTTGCCTAGTTGTTTAATGACTGCTCAAGACCATGAGGAAATTGCTTTAAAAGAAAAGTGAGATATAATTTTCTAATAGGTACTCAAGAGCAGCTGTGTTTTAGAAATCACTTATTTTTTTTTACTCATAAAAGCAATATTGAGTATAGAGGGAAAAAATAATATTCAGTCTACCACACTACCACAACCATTAGATTTTTCTTTTTCTTTTAGGTCTTATATATAATTTTGCATAGTTATAAGTGTGAATATGAATTTGTATCTTAGAAACTTTTTTCATTTAATGTTTTGTCATATGCACATATTGCTGTTACCACAGTTATTTTAATGACTATATAATATTCCATCATATGGCCATACTTAACCATTCCCCTATAAGCCTTCAGTTTGCTTTTTTTGTTGTCTTATGAGAGTGGCTTAAAAATAATGAGTAAATGAGTATTGTCATATGTGTAACTCTTTTGGAATAAACATATTTTATTTTATGATTTTTAAAAAAATGTATTGGGCCAGGTATAGTCGTTCATGCCTATAATCCCACAACTTTGGGAGGCCGAAGCGGACGGATAACTTGAGACCAGGAGTTTGAGACCAGCGTGGGCAATGTAGCGAAACCCTGTCTCTACTGAAATACAAAAATTAGCCAGTGTGGTGGCACACATCTGTAATCCCAGCTACTCAGGAGGCTGAGGCACAAGTTTTGCTTGAACCTGGCAGTGGGAGGTTGAAGTGAACTGAGATCGCACCACTGCACTCTAGCCTGGGCAACAGAGTGGGACTCCGTCTCAAAAAAAAAAAAAAAAAGTTTAAAATTTACTGACAAGTGTTCCATAGTACTTATTTATAGTCAGCTACAGTAGATGAGGTAGATTTCAAGTCTACCCTGTTAGCGTTGATTTTCTTTTTTTCTATCTTATTTTTCAGACAAAATGGTATTCCTTTCCAATTTGTGTTTTTTTCTATATTTACTAGTTAATTTTGTTTTATGAATACTCTGTGTTCTTTGCTCATTTATCTTTTGCAAACTTACTATAAATCTTATCAATGTGTATAAATCCGGTAGAGAAAGATAATCTCTTATCTCTATATATGGGTTTTTTTTTTTTGTTTAAACAGGCTTTTGCTGGGTGCAGTGGCTCATCTCTGTAATCCCAGCACTTGGGAGGCTGAGGTGGGAAGATCACTCGAAACCAGCTTGGGCAACATAGGGAGATGCCATCTTTACAAAAACTTTAAAAATTAGCCAGGCATGGTGGTATAGTCCCAGCTACTTGGGAGGCTGAGGTAGGAGGATCACTTGGACCCAGGAGGTCGAGGCTGCAGTGAACCATGATCGCGTGACTGCACTCCATCTTGGGTGACAGAGCAAGACCCTGTCTCTAAATAAATAAATATTAAAGTCAAGCAGCCTCTCAATGATCTTTATTTTATCCCTGGAGGTAAATCTAATGTTGTACCTCCATCTTTCCTGAGTTATTTTCCTTTTAAGGATTTTTTTTTTTTTTTGCCCTTTTCTTATTCTCTCTCAGGTACTTGCCTTTTAGCCATTTTATTACATGCATTTGCATTTCTTGTAGGTAGTGACACTATTTTAGTAAGTAGTCCCATAACATGAATTAAAACGAGGGGGTTGAAATTAAATTGAGAATTTGTTAGTTTTATTTAACATTTTCCTCTTCACTATTGCCACAGGAAAATTAAACTTAATTGTATATGAAATAGTATTCTAGACCAGGCACAGTGGCTCATGCCTGTAATCTCAGCACTTTGGGAGGCCAAGGCAGGTGGATCACCTGAGGTCAAGAGTTTGAGACCAGCCTGGCCAACATGGCAAAACCCCATCTCTACTAAAAAAATACAAAATTTAGCTGGGCGTGGTGGTGGGCGCCTGTAGTCCCAGCTACTCGGGAGACTGAGGATAGAGAATCGCTTGCACCTGGGAGGCGGAGGTTGCAGTGAGCCAAGATCATGCCATTGCACTCCTGGGTGACAGAGTGAGACTCCATCTCAAAAAAAAGAAAAGAAATAGTATTCTAGAACTCACAACATAAGAAACCATTAATTCAAAATTAGAGTGTATTCATGCCGATGGTTAAATGGGTAGTAAGGAAAAAAGTAAAAATGAAAACAACACTAGTATTTTCTCTAATAAATAACACATTTGTTTTAGGCTCATGATTTGAATTATGTAACATTCACATTTGCCTTGTCAGTCATCACTTGTAGATAACTTAGGAACACTTGTTGGCTTATCTGTGTGTCTATTAATTTGGAAACCAAGCCAGATAGTCACATATGGGTGATATCTCTGATATTAAATAAAACTTACCCAATTAGAAGTCAGAACAATGTGGATATTTTCAGATGTCATAACATCTGTCATATTGCCATGTACATAGGAAGCCATAGAAGAACAATGTAGAAAAGAAACAAGATCATTCACTTTTGAATTTTTGCCAGCTTACTTTTATGCATGGCAGGAACCGTGAAGGTATGGGACCCAAGGCAAAAAGATGATCCTGTTGCTAATATGGAACCTGTACAAGGAGAAAACAAGAGAGACTGTTGGACTGTGGCATTTGGTAAATTATTGAAGAATTCTTGCATTTGAATTATCAGATGGTAAAAAGCACGATCCTGCAAGAAATTTCACACTAGTCTCTTTATAGTCTGTTTTGTGGATTATTTACTGAGGCAAATATACATGGTGGTTAATGTCAGCCTCTGGATCCTGGGTTTGAATTCTCACCTGCAATAAGTATATTGGCTGTGTGGCCTGGAGCAAGTTACCAAAGTTATCTGTTCCTTGGTTGTTTCATTTATAAAATGGAATTAATAATAGAATTTACTTAGTTGTGTCATCACGAAGATTCAATGAGTTAATTACATGTAAAGTGCTGAGAATTGTGCTTATTATTATGTGTTTCTGTTTAATTAGATAATATTGACCTAATTTAAAATCAGACACCATTAAAGGGGATAAACCAAGCCTCAGATGCAAACGATAACCTAACAAATCATACATTACACTGTGTACAGAGTATGTTTATTTTCCAGAAAATAGTTTGCCATTGCAAAGTTATTTCTTATAAATTTTGATAACTGTGTTCCTTTATTAATTTACTTAAAATGAATATTGATTTTGTAAGACTAATTGACATTTGCCCTTTGATATGGTTTGGATCTATGTCCCCACCAAATCTCATGTTGAATTGTAATCCCCAGTGTTGGAGGTGGGGCCTCCTGGGAGGAGATTAATGGGGGCAGAGTTCTCATGAATGGTTTAACACATCCTCCCGTATACTTTAAATCACCTCTAGATTACTTATAATACCTAATATGATGTAAATGTTGCATCAATCATTGTTGTATTGTTTAGGGAATAATGACAAGCACAAGAAGTCTGTGCATTTTTAGTGTAGATGCGAATTTTTTTCCAAATATTTTCAATCCATGGTTGGTTGCCTATAGATGCAGAACCCATGGATAGGGAGGACTGATGGTAGAAGAGAATAATAGTAGGAGTATCCTTAGAGATGGCTCAGGACAATGGCCAGAGGTGTTAGGATGGCCTGAAGATCATTCTAAGTTTTTGACGGTTTTTGCAAGGAGGAGATGAAATCCAAGCTTTAGGACAATGAACTAATGGTATTTAGCGGGAGTGATGGGTGGCACAGAGAATATGAGTTCAAGAGCTCTTTGCAGTATTCCAGGGAAGACCTAAGTTACAAGCACTGAGAAGGGAGCAGAGTGGATGATTCGGAAGATAATATTATGCAGAATACATAGAATTGGGGAATTTTTTTGGATATGAAGAACAAAGAAAAGGATTATGTCCAAGATGACTGAGTTTTCAGCCTGATTGTGGGGTGAATGATGTTATTATACAAGGGGTGGGATAATTTGTAAAGGAAAATGGTAAGGTCATTTTAGAACATCATGAGTTTAAGATGATGGCGTACCATCTAAGTGGGGCCCACAGTGGAAACACAGGGCTGGAGTTTATGAGAAAAACGAAGTTGGCGGCAGTAGAGAATGAAAGCTTGGGGACAGGATGCCCAGATAGCCTAGCACAGTACAGGGGCCTCCTTCTCACTTAACACTCTTTCCTTAGCAAGAGGTACTTGGAAAAATATCCTTGAATTCCAGGAGGATGAGTTTAACTACAGATTATAAACTTACTTCAGGTATGATCATCCACACTACTAAAAATATGTTACAGTATGCTACAGCTTATTTTCAGATTTCCTTGTAAAGATGGGATCACATCAGAACAGCATTTTTCAAGATAAATTAGTTTTAAAATTTCTGTTTGCGTTCAAATATAGTTACTGCCAAGAAAGCAACAGAAGTATAACTGTGTTTATTCTCCGAGACCCCTTTGTGTTTGAGTTATAGTTGGCCTGCTAGCCTTTGCAGATACAGTATAAAGCTTTTTTTTTTTTTTTTTTTTTTTTTTTTGAGACGGAGTCTCGCTCTGTCGCCCAGGCTGGAGTGCAGTGGCGGGATCTCGGCTCACTGCAAGCTCCGCCTCCCAGGTTCACGCCATTCTCCTGCTTCAGCATCCCGAGCAGCTGGGACTACAGGCGCCCGCCATCACGCCCGGCTAACTTTTTTTTTTTAAAGTAGAGATGGGGTTTCACTGTGTTAGCCAGGATGGTCTCCATCTCCTATAAAGCATTTTCTTTAAATTGAATTCAATAAACGCTTTCACATATCCTTTCAGTATGGAATTACAGTGAATGAGCTTATATTAGTCCGTTTTGCATTGAATTTCTTTATTGCTATAAAGGAATACCTGAAACTGGGTAGTTTATAAAGAAAAGAGGTTTATTTGGCTCATGGTTCTGCAAGAGTATACAAGAAGCATGGTGCCAGTGTCTGCTTCTGGTGAGACCTCGGAAGTGTCTGCTCATGGCAGAAGGCAAAAGGGGAGCAGGCGTGTCACACGGTGAGAGAGGGAGCAAGAGAGAGGGGAGGAGGGAGGCGCCAGACTCTTGAACAACCAGGCCTCGTATGAACTAGAAGAACGAAAACTCATTACCACAAAGACTGCACTGAGCCATTCACGAGGGATCCAGGCCCAGGACCCAGCACCTCCCATCAGGCCCCACCTCCGACATTGGGGATCTTACGTCAGTATGAGATTGGGGGCACAAATATCCAAACTCTTATCAGAGATTTAAACAAACCAAAAAACTAATGGATACCACATTAATAATCTTGATGTCCTGTCAGGACTGGTAAGATGGGATTCTACCCAGTGTGATTTTTAAAATCTGATTTAGTAAAAGCTGTATGTATAGTTTCATAAGATTTTTTTTAAGCAACCTTTATAAGAATGCATTTATAAGGATGTGAAATGTTGTATCTTGATTTCCAGGCAATGCTTATAATCAAGAAGAACGTGTTGTTTGTGCTGGTTATGACAATGGGGATATCAAACTATTTGATCTCAGAAATATGGCATTACGGTGGGAGACAAACATCAAAAATGGGGTAAAGTACATTCTGATGCTTTTTGGTTTCTCTGCGCATGTTTCCATTCACCTCTGAACTACTACAAAAGGAAGACACCTCTAGTAACTCATCTCAGTCAACCCCTCTGCCAATGGTTCTTAACTTTTTGGGGCCAAACCCGTTTGAGAATCTAATGAAAATCCTGAATCCTTTCTTCAGAAAATGAGCTCACACCCACATGTGGTATGTACAATGTTGGGGGAGTCACCAGCCCCTTCAGCCTGTCTGCAGACCCCTGTGGGCCATGTAGTAAGATTTCAAAATAAGCAAGTAAAAGGCCTTTTTATGCCAATACGGAAAGCCTGAAACAGTAGTCACTTCCCCAGCTCAGATTTTTGGTTCCTCAGTTGTACACCTTTAGCAAAGAATGTGGTTTCCTCCTGTTTTCTGTCAGCCTTTACTTAACTGTTAAATAACATAAAAAGTTAAATGATTCCCCAAAGGGATTCACTGAGCATGGGAACCCAAGATAGTTTTGTTCATCTTACTAATGGAAAAAAAAATGGTATTTTCTTTTTTTTTTGAGATGGAGTCTTGCTCTGTTGCCTAGGCTAGAGTGCAGTGGCGCGATCTTGGCTCACTGCAAGCTCCGCCTCCCAGGTTCACGCCATTCTCCTGCCTCAGCCTCCCAAGTAGCTGAGACTACAGGTGCCTGTCACCACGCCCGGCTAATTTTTCATATTTTTTAGTAGAAATGGGGTTTCATCGTGTTAGCCAGGATGGTCTCAATCTCCTGACCTCGTGATCCACCCTCCTCAGCCTCCCAAAGTGCTGGGATTACAGGTGTGAGCCACCATGCCTGACCAAAAAAAAAGAATTTTTTTTTGAGATGGAGTCTTACTCTGTCACCCAGGCTAGAGTGCAAGGGCGTGATCTCAGCTTACTGTAACCTCCGCCTCCCAGGTTCAAGCAATTCTCCTGCCTCAGCCTCCCAAGTAGCTGGGACTACAGGCACACGCCACCATGCCCGGCTAATTTTTGTAGTTTTAGTAGAGACAGGGTTTCACCATGTTGGCCAGGCTGGTCTTGATCTCCTGACCTCATGATCCACCTGCCTTGGCTTCCCAACGTGTTAGGATTACAGGCATGAGCCACCACGCCCAGCTGGAAAAAAATTTTTATGGTAAAAGTTAAAAGAGAAAATGATTGTTGGAGTGCTTTCACGTTATCTGACCATTTTAAAGCTGTTTTACTTAGTTTAAAAGAGCCTCCTGAGTTAATACTGGTGAGACTACCAATAATAAATATTCTCTGTTTTCAGGTATGTAGCTTGGAGTTTGACAGAAAAGACATAAGTATGAATAAGTTAGTAGCCACATCTCTGGAAGGAAAGTTCCATGTTTTTGACATGAGAACACAGCATCCAACCAAAGGTTTTGCCTCTGTTTCGGAAAAGGTAAATATGAGGGAAATGTCTTTATATGAAGAAGAATGATAGCTTGGCTTAGACTGATAAGTAGAATTAGTCACCAAGGTTTCTTCCAGGTCTTTATGTGAGGGGAGCTATTTTTGATACATTCCTTTGAGATCTTGACAAGTTTTTCTGTGCAAAGAGTACTTCCCCAAAGTTTATCAACTTTAGACTTCTTGATTATAATAAAGATCTCAGTTAGGTAGGAATCTTATTTTGTAGTTTAGGAGCAATTAGAAGAAACCTAGCTGATAATAGGAATTTGATCAACAAAACCCATCCTCGTGTTTCCTAATAAATATATAATATTTGTGCTAATACCTGGTTATATATTTTTCAAAATATAACTATATGTACATGATGTCATTACATTTTATTTTATATTCCAGTTTGCTATATTAAATGAAATTATTGAAAGCACTGAGTACTGTGATTATAGTAGATGTTCAAAAATATTTTATTTACTTACTTAACTTTGCCTTGCATTTGAGGTAGCTGAGAGGGAAATATGGTATTACAGCATTAGACCAATAGATGAGGAAAGCAGGGCAAAAGGAAAATACTGGTTTAAAAAAAAGATAGTTTCTGGACTGGGGGCATTACAGAAAATTCATGCAAAAAGGTCCTGTCATTCACAAGAAATGGATTGGAAATGTGATTTGAGTTTCCTCAAGTATAAAAAGAAAGAAATATCAATTACGGATTCCTTGTTTCCGTAAGATTAAAATATACAAGTTGCTCATGAAGTAAGAATTTACTCCCTTGCTTCTCTCTCTCCTGTGGATTCAGCAGGATTTCTTGAACCTTCCTATTTTGTCTCATTATTATTATTGTGTGTAAATTATTGTCACTGCCTTATGAAAACGAAATTCTTAACAAGATAATTATAAAGTATTGGTTTGCTTTTGTCATTTCAGAATATATTAAATATCTATCAACAACATAGATCACTTTACTAAACTGTTACATGTATAATTTGCAACACATATATCATTATCTATAAATAATAGTGTCATCTCCAATTTTTTGTTTTGTTTGTTTGGCTTTTTTTTTTTTTGGAGACAGAATCTTGCCCTCTTACCCAGGCTGGTGTGCAGTGGCATGATTATGGCTCACTACAGTCCTGGGCTCAAGTGATCCTCCTGCCTCAGCCTCCCAAGTTGCTGGGAGTATAGGCACACGCCACCACATCTGGCTAATTAGAATTTTTTTTTTTTTTTTCATAGAGACACAGTCTTGCTGTGTTGCCCAGTCTGGACTTGAAACCTGACCTCAAGTGATCACCTCGGCCTCCCGAAGTGCTGGGATTATAGGCGTGAGCCACTATACCTGGCCCAGTTTTTTAAAATTATATTTAGTTAACCTAGTAATTGCTAAATCTGCCAAATAGATGACTCTGGTATATTTTAAGAGGTCATTTCCCCTCTTGCTTTTTGTGTTTTTCTCAACTTCCTGAAGAAGAAGAGAAGTTTAAGCTACAAAATAAAATGTTTCAACAGCTTGAACCTAATCACTGGGAGACCATGACACACTTAAAATATGTGTTTTGAGATATGAGTCTTTATCAGCTAATGGTAATTCTCTCAAAAGACTATTGAAATCAAAGGTCAAGACTAATCACTCACTAAAATGTGGTGTTCCACAATAGCCAGCCTCACTGCTTCTACAAAGCAGCAGTCATTCATTCCCTCCCACCTCCTTTCTCTCCCTCCCTCTGTCTCTCTCTGTCTCCTAAATTCCCCCCAGTTAATGCAGTATTGCCAGGATGGATTTACGGGTTGCCTTTGAGGTGCTAACAAACTGTTAACCTTCCAGCTGCTGGTTTTTAGTCTTTAGTCTAATGTGAATGATAAAGACCATAGCTTATTATGGCCATAAACATTGTCTATAAGTCCTCATGATCCATATTTTGAAGACTGGACAGGTCAATGGCAATACATTGAAAATAAGGCTCTGGGAGCTGTTAGTTAAAATTCAGTCTATAAATTTTAGTTAAAATTCAGTCTAGAAGAACTCTATACTTATTGCTGACTTTTGCTGTGAACTTCAAACTGTTCTCAGAACTAAAGTGCATTTTAAAAAATTCAGTCCACATTTTTTGTATATATTAACAAAAGTATATATTTTTGCATTTTGAGTGTTTTCCCCCTCAGAATGAACTAGAGGTATTTACATATGTAAAATCTATTCATAATGTATTTGATACTGTAAACTTAAATGGACTTTAAATTTAATACCTGTCTTTTTAAAAATGCAGTAGAACTTTGTTTCATAAAGCAATAAAGAAAAATGATGCTTTTTCTAATTTCTTATGTGCTCCTATAAATCTCTGTAGCCATTATAAAGAAGCGTGCCAGAAAATAACCTTAATTACTTTTATAACCGTTGAAATTATAGTAGTAAAAGTTCTTTATTTGCAGAGTTTCTCTTCCAGGGCACCATTTAGCATATAAACCAGTTGTGTGCCTCTTGTTCTGTTTAGGCTCATAAATCCACTGTGTGGCAGGTCCGACACCTGCCGCAGAACAGGGAGCTCTTTCTGACAGCTGGAGGCGCCGGCGGCCTTCACCTCTGGAAGTAGTAAGTCTGCCAGTGCACACTGCTCCTTTTAAAGTTACCTGTGGGTGTAAAGTAGGATTAGATTGAACTTTTTTGTCTTTTTTTTTTTTTTTTTCTGCTTTGACTTAGTTCATTTTGATATGATTTAAAATTTCATGGTATTACATAACTTGTTTTCTAAGCATTTTGTATGAATATACTTTACATTTAGTAAAGTGTACACTAATCTTCTTTTGATACATTAAGTCTATTTATCGTTTTAGTTGTGTCTTCTAAGTATGTAAAAGTTAGCCCAAGACTTTTATCAGATATTATCTTGAAGTGATTAGAACACTCACTGCCTCTAAAAGATAGGGAAAGGGTTCCTTGCCTAAATGTAGATAACATCGTTGTGGTAGACCCCAACAGAGTCTGAGGCTCCTGATTGGTCTTCAGGAAAGACCTTATCACTGAGTTTGCTTTCTGCATATCTAGGCTGGGTGAGTTACAGTGAATGCTTTACTATGCAAGCTACTCTCTGAATCCCAAGGGCGCTAACATCGTAGATACTAGATCATTTAGAAGGTCTGATATACTTGCTCAGGGTTGGCCTGTGAAAAGGAGAAAAAGCAAAACAAAACAAAAATTAAAGATCTGATAAAAATTGTGAGTTAGTGGTATTTCTGAATACTTTATTAGCTAAGCAATATGTACTTGGAGGGGAAAAATTACATCTTTCTTAAACATCACTCGGAAAAAATAGCAAGCCTATAAATGAAGGATCTTTCAAAAATAAAGTTTCATTAATAATGTAAGAAGAAAAACACCATCATCAATATATCTGGGACTTTCACATTTATAAAATTCTTCTCTATTAGCTCTTTTGAGAAGCTGGAAGGGGTTCTGAAAAACAGGGCTACAGTTGGAAAGTACTTGTTAAAGTACTGTGTGCAGGGATACCGCTGACAAAAAACCAGAGTGAATGTTTTATTTTATATTTTCTGATAGAGTCTTGCTCTGTTGCCCAGGCTGGAGTGCAGTGGCATGATCTCATCTCACTGCAGCCTCCACCTCCAGGTTCAAGGGCTTCTCCTGCCTCAGCCTCCTGAGTAGCTGGGATTACAGGTGCCCACTACCATACCCGACCAATTTTTGTATTTTTAGTAGAGACGGGGTTTCACCATGTTGGCCAGGCTGGTCCCGAACTCCTGGCCTCAGGTGATCCACCCGCCTCGGCCTCCCAAAGTACTGGGATTACAGGCATGAGCCACCGCGCCTGGCCAGAGTGAACGCTTTAGATCGAAACAGTATGGTTATGACAAAACTCTGTCTCTACTAAAAATACAAGAATTAGCTGGGCATGGTGGCACACGTCTGTAATCCCAGCTACTCGGGAGGCTGAGGCATGAGAGTTGCCTGAATCTGGGAGGTGGAGGTCTCAGTGAGTTGAGATCACACCACTGCACTCCAGCCTGGGCGACAGAGTGAGACAGAGCAACAGACTTTTTCTGTCTCAAAAAACAAACAAACAGTATGGTTTCTGTGAGTAAAAAGCAGAGGAAAAGTTTGAGGCGTTCTGGGAGAATGTGGGGTAGACCGATCACTTGCAGTAATACTTTCCCTTCTTCTAGCACCTTTGCCCGTTCTTCCCTGATTCTTCCACCCCGGTCTCCTCCCCACGTTAGGCTCTGCCAGTCCCCTTAGTGAAGCCATGTGGTGGCACGTCACTATTGTACTTGGTGACCAAATCTTTAGGCTGCTTACTTGAAGAAATAGTTCCAGTTTTCTTTGTAATCCACACGTGGATTTGTATTCCATAAGACACACAAACACTTTTTTTTTTTTTTTTTTTTTTTGAGACGGAGTCTCGCTCTGTCGCCCAGGCTGGAGTGCAGTGGCCGGATCTCAGCTCACTGCAAGCTCCGCCTCCCGGGTTTACGCCATTCTCCTGCCTCAGCCTCCGGAGTAGCTGGGACTACAGGCGCCCGCCACCTCGCCCGGCTAGTTTTTTTTTTTTGTATTTTTTAGTAGAGACGGGGTTTCACTGGGTTAGCCAGGATGGTCTCGATCTCCTGACCTCATGATCCGCCCGTCTCGGCCTCCCAAAGTGCTGGGATTACAGGCTTGAGCCACCGCGCCCAGCCTACACAAACACTTTTGCAGCTGGAAGTTTTTACTACAGTGGATTTCGTTCTGTCGGTAAAGTTAGGTCTGTATGCAAATTTGAAGTTTAGTGCAATGTAAACTTTACACTTAACCAGAACAGATGTGCAGTCTAATCTTCAAATCGGTTTGGAGTTTTACTGTCAAGTATTGTACCAGCAAAGGGAATTGGTTTAAGTACAATGATATGTAGCTTTATTTTCATTTGCCAGTCTGTCTTGGTAGTAATGCAATTAAATTGTAAATATTTATTGGCCGCTGAACCAACAGCTCCTAGAAGAAATCATCTAGTTATTCATGACTTGTTTTTTGAATAACTTCAACATGCTGTTTTTGTTTTTTTTTTTTTGAGTATTATTTGAATCACATACACATATTCTTTTAAAACTTCAACAGGTAATATGGAAGGTTTTAAAAAATCTTTATGTTATCTTTTGAATACTAAATAACTGCAGCCTTTGCCAAGAGATACGTGAAAGACGTCTGTATTTAAACCGTTTATTCATCTGAATGTTTTATTTCTTTTCATCAAAATGATTTGTAGGGTTTGAGAGGAAGAGAAAATAGTAGATCATCTACCTGTAGATTCTTCTTCCATTTCCATTTTGCTTCTGATTGGCTTTGGGCTTCTTACGTTCTTGGCCTTTGCCAGCATTCATGAAATAAAGATGCTGTCATAATTGATACTAGTAGGTTTTAAAAGGCCTTCTGAGGAGTGATGCTTCTGTATTTTATCAGGAACACATCTCCACTGGGGAAGAGTGTTTTCTTTCCCCTTTTCCAATCTAGACCAGATGGGATTTATGACTTTAACCTTCTGCTTCTCTTACCATATCAATTTATATTTTCAGCTGAAAAAAATCAAATGTTCTCAGAACCACTTTTTTCTTGTTGGAAACAATTACATTTAGGTCTAACATCTCCACTCTGTGACGCCTTCCCATAGAAGTGGTATACAAAAGGTCCTTAGGCTTGGGTCTGTGTAATGGAGCTTGGGGGTTAGAAGCTGGCATCAGTTTTTCATTCTGGAAGTGTTTAGATGAAGTTCTGCAAATGTTACTCACGGCCATTGCCTTTGCACATTGTTTGCCTGTGATATCCAGCAATCTAAATCTGGAGGAAAATTACAATAAATAAAAGATGATCAAAAGCACCAAGTAAATGTATTAAAGAATCCTAGATCAACCTAGAACTTTCATATTAAAAGAGAAAACATAGATACATGTTGAACAGAAATGACTTTTAGAAGTTTTTAGTAGAACTAATAACCCTTTTTATGACATGTTTTGGGGATAGGATTGAGGTTAAAATTGTGTCTTTATTTGCAAACAACTCAGTATTAGAAAGATTCTGTAAGTATTTATTAGTCCCAGTAACCAACTGAGAAATAGAGTCATTGAAATGTCTATGTAGAAATAAAATGGTGAAAGCTAAGATTTATGCACTCTTACTTTGATCTTGTTTTCAGTGAATACCCTATTCAGCGGTCAAAGAAAGATTCTGAGGGAATAGAAATGGGAGTCGCAGGTTCTGTAAGCCTTCTGCAGAATGTTACGTTGTCCACCCAGCCCATTTCAAGTTTGGATTGGAGTCCAGATAAAAGGGGTCTTTGCGTCTGTAGTTCATTTGACCAAACGGTGAGAGTACTAATCGTTACGAAACTCCATAAAATTTGACTTCAAGACTTTGGACTCACAGAATTTAAGATAGGTTCTGGAATCCTCTGACCCTCATTGAACAAAGCTGGATTTGGCTGATGACAAAAACCCCCAGACACAAGCCCCTGGGCCAGCCTCCAGCCTCTCCTGGGGCGTGTTTGCCAACTTGCTTGCTGCTGCGCGTGGGTATCAGAAGCACCGAGTAAACTGTCTCCAGGGCCAGTGCTTTTCTTCTCCCTTCCATTTCTAAGTCAATAGTTGTCTATAATTAAACATATTTCAGATTTGTTCTGTGTCCCTGAAGTTCCATATTTTATCTTTATGCTTGTGTTATGTTTTAGTGTCTATAATGTTGTGGTGGGAATCATTTCATTTGGTTTAAAAGAGTTTGCCTTGGAAAAACTGAATTATCCTTCAGAAATACATTTTGAGAGATTTCAGTGTCAGTACGTTTCTGGACATAATATTATTGTATAAAATATCAAAATGGTGGGCCAGGCATGGTAGCTCACGCCTGTAATTCCAGCACTTTGGGAGGCTGAAGTGGGCAAATCACGAGGTCAGTAATTCGAGACCAGCCTGGCCAACATGATGAAACCCCATCTCTACTAAGAATACAAAAAATTAGCTGGGCGTAGTGGCGGGCGCCTGTAATCCCAGCTACTCCGGGAGGTGGAGGTTGCAGTGAGCCGAGATCGCACCACTGCACTCCAGCCCTGGCGACAGAGTGAGACTCTGTCTCAAAAACAAATATATATATATAAAAAATATCTCAAAATGGCATGGTTGGTCTAGATTTGGGTAACTATTTTCAGCAATTTAATTCATAAAACAAAATGCTATGATTTATAAAGCTCTTTTTTACTTAAAATACAGGAATTGAATTGGTGAGGCTTTTGGTTATTGACTGTGGTAAGTGGTGGTGAAATGTACACGATTGTAGGGGTTTTGTAGTCTTATTTTTGGTCATACTTTAAAAATGCATTTTATGAATAAACTTCTGTTTTTGAGATCTACAGAAGCTTTGATTCTGTTACCTTAACAGTAGTAATAAAGTTAACGTTTTCACATCATTTTGCTTTATAAATGCTTAATTAATAGTTAATTCACTTTGTTTCTTTAATGTTCACCTTATCTTTAAGGCTTTGAAATTACTGACTTTATCACACTTTCATTAAGCCTACCCTCCCCCACCTCCATTGAAGAGAATGCAGCCACCTAAAACATTCATAATATGTGAAATATATGTGATTTCAGGGGATCATGGAGAGTCATTTATTTGGAATATTAAGAAAATTAAGGTTTTTTTTTTTTTTTTTTTTTTTTTTTTTTTTACAGTGTTTTATAGAATAATGCTGTGGATATAATTATGAAGGTAAAAATTAAATTGAACTTTAAAAAAGTCTGTATCTGCAGGTTTTTAAAAAATTTGCAATGAAAAAAAGGAAAATTTGTAGACGTCTCTCTTAGAACACTTGTATTTGGTAATAGAGTCAACAACAATAAATACCTGTATTTTATGAAATCTAAGATGTCATCGATACCACTGATGCTATGCCATTCAAGAAAACGGAGCCAACTAAAACATTCATAATATGTAAATGTATGTGATTTCAAGTGATCATGGAGAGTCACTTGTTTGGAATATTAAGTTGAGAAAATTAAGTATTTTTGTTGTTGTTGTTTCCAATTTTTTTTTTTTTTTGAGACGGAGTCTTTGCTCTGTCGCCCAGGCAGGAGTGCAATGTCATGATCTTGGCTCACTGCTACCTCTGCCTCCCGGGTTCAAGCAATTCTCCTGCCTCAGTCTCCCGAGTAGCTGGGATTATAGGCATGTGCCACCATGTCCTGCTAATTTTTGTATTTTTAGTAGAGATGGGGTTTCGCCATGTTGGCCAGGCTGGTCTTGAACTCCTGACCTCGTGATCCGCCCACCTCAGCCTCCCAAAGTGTTGGGATTACAGGTGTGAGCCACCGCACCCAGCCCCAATGTTTTGAACAATGGGATATAATTATGAAAGTAAAAATTAAATTGAACTTTTAAAAAGTTTATATCTGCTTTTTCTTAATTTGCAAAGAAAAAATGGAAAATCTGTGGAAATCTCTCCTAGGACACTTGTATTTGGTAATATAGAGTCAACAACAATAAACACCTGTATTTCATTAAATCTAAGATGTCATTGATACCACTGATGCTAGGCTGATATGATGAAACTGATAAAATGCTTTTTTTTTTTTTATCACTTACTGTTTGCTTTATATTAATTGAGTGTTCTTTTTATTTACACATAGACTTTTTTTCCATTATGTATCACTTGTGTGCATCCTTAAAAAGAAAAATATATACAGTAGACTGTTATTCTAAGTAAAGTAACTCAGGAATGGAAAACCAAACATTGCGTTTCTCCTAAGTGGGAGCTAAGCTATGAGGATGCAGAGGCATAAGAATGGCACAATGGGCTTTGGGGACTTGGGGAAAGATGGGAAGGGGATGAGGGATAAAAGACTACAAACCGGCCGGGTGCGGTGGCCCACGCCTGTAATTCCAGCACTTTGGGAGGCCAAGACGGGCGGATCACGAGGTTAGGAGATCGAGACCATCCTGGCTAACACGGTGAAACCCCGTCTCTACTAAAAATACAAAACAAAATAGCCGGGCATAGTGGCGGGCGCCTGTAGTCCCAGCTACTTGGGAGGCTGAGGCAGGAGAATGGCGTGAACCCGGGAGGTGGAGCTTGCAGTGAGCCGAGATCGCGCCACTGCACTCCAGCCCGGGCGACTGAGCAAGACTCCGTCTCAAAAAAAAGAAGAAAAAAACAAAACAAAACAAAAACTACAAATCAGGTTCAGTGTATACTGCTTGGGTGATGGGCACACCAAAATCTCACAAATCACCACTAAATAACTTACTCATGTAACCAAATACCACTTGTTTCCCCCAAACTTATGGAAATAAAAAAATTAAAATAGAGGAAAATTTATACAAAATAAATTTGGTATGCTATTCCTCAGATTCCTTCATATTCAGAGTTTAATTCTTCTAAATCACTTTTTGAATTCAGAGCCATCAGTGTTCATGGTTTTCCTTATAATATTGTCCTTTGTGCATAAAAATGTTGGTATGTAGCATTTCTTTAAAACATGTTCCACTATTGCCTTCAGGGTTTTCTTTCAATTTACTTACACTTCTTCAACACGTTTTTGTGTATACATACATGCAGGCAGTGACAACTGTCAAGACCGCAGCCTGGCTGACCATGATTATTTCAGTTGTCTATTGCTGTATAACAAACCACTGCAGACCTTCATATCTTATAACACTAACGATCATTTATTTTGCTTAGGAGTCTGATTTGGGCAGGGTTCAGCAAGGAAGCCTCATCTGTGCTCCAGATAGCGTGAGGCAGGCAGCTCTACTAAAGGCTGGTGGACCTGCTTCCAAGATGGCACGCACTCATACTACTTGCAGGTTGGTGCTGGCTGTTAGCTGGGACCTCAACCAGATCTGAGAAGCAGGGGCTGAGCTCACCACATGGCATAGGGTTTCTGAGCATGGTGGCCAGGTTCCAAGGGTGAGCATCCCAGGAAAACACCGGGCAGAAGCTATCTTGTTTTATTAATGACCTAGCTTCATAATTTACTTAGCATCACTTTGCCACACTCTATTAGTTGAGGTAATCACAACCTCCTATCCTAAGTTCAAGGGCAGAGGACATAAATTCTACTTCCTTTTTCTGTGTGTGTGTGTGAGAGAGAGAGAGAGAGAGAGAGAGAGAGAGAGACAAGGTCTTACTCTGTTGCTATGCTGCCCAGGCTGGAGTGCAGTGGCACCATCATAGCTCACTGCAGCCTCGACCTGAGCTTTAGGAATCCTCCCACTTCAGCTACCAGAGTAGCTGGGACTACAGGTGTGTGCTGCCACGCCCAGCTACATTTTTAAAATTTTTTGTGGAGATGAAGTAAATTCTACTTTTTGATGGGGTCTTGACTAGGTTCCGAAAGAGCGTGTGAGCTGGGTGTGGTGGCTCATGCCTGGAATCCCAGCACTTTGGAATGCCAGGGCGGGTGGATCATCTGAGGTCAGGAGTTTGAGACCAGTCTGGCCAACATGGTGAAACCTCATCTCCACTAAAAATACAAAAATTAGCCGGGCATGGTCATACACCCCTGTAATCCCAGTTACTTGGGAGGCTGAGGTGGGAGAATTGCTTGAACCTGGGAGGCGAAGGCGTAATCCCAGTTACTTGGGAGGCTGAGGTGGGAGAATTGCTTGAACCTGGGAGGCGAAGGCGTGTAGTGAGCTGAGATCACGCCACTGGACTCCAGCCTGTGTGACAGAGTGAGACCCTGTCTCAAAAAAAAAAAAAAAAGCATGTGAGACTTTGAAATACTGTGGCTAGTTTTGGAAAAGACAATCTGGTGTAGTGATTGTAAGATTCATCCTAATTTCAAAGATGCATAAATGGACAGAAGGATGTTCTCATTCGAATTGATGAAATGCATTGCTTCAAATGCAGATACTCCTATCCCACCCATCTACATACACCCCTCCTTGCCCCTAATTTATTGCAGACATGACTAATCAATCATGCCACTCATTCTTCGTGAGCCTCACAAGCTTTATCACACTCTGCTAGGAGCCACTACCAACTGCTGGCAAGTGAGATAAAAAGTATTTACTCTCCTGAATCTAGAGAGTGAAAAACAGGTAGCCTCCTGTACCAGGAGTTACTGGACACCCCTCTCCCCCAGTCTGTGGCTTTGTATTTCAGTATGCCAGGAAATGAGGAGGCTCTCCAGCACTAGACCGTGTAAACCAAACTGATGCAAAAACCAAAATGGCGCTTCATTCATATGTAGTGAGGGATGAACCCTTAGGTGCCAAAATGCCTAGGTTTGCCAACTGAGAACCTTCTTCATGTCCATTTATCTGAGATTCTGTGTAATTGTTTTGAAGTCTTTCTGTGAGAGTGGAATTAGAGACAGGTGTTGACAGTATTTAGAATAATGCATCCAGGCCTTAGTGAAGCCTTAAAAAAAAAAAAAAAACGGTCTCAGAACCACAAAGCTCTAGGCTATTGTGCACTTTTTACTGCAAATATGTTTCCATTCTTTAACTTTGCTAGGTGTGGTGGTAAATTGTAGACTGTTTTAGTAAGGGATTTCTGGAATAATTCTCATGGGGTGGTGGGGAACCTTCCAGGGAAATGCTACTTTGTAATGACTTTTTTTTTTTTCTTTTGACCACCAGACTGTCCTCTAAAAGTAAGTGAGACATGCAGGCTTCAGATATGAAGCTGGCTTGTGCAACCTGATTATAACATAGCAGTCTGCAATCAGGTGCTATGGCTCGTTTGAAAAATATGTGGGCAATTGGCTTTTAGCTATGTTTTTGTTGCTGTTGTTATTATTTAGTTTTTATTTCATAATCGTAAACTTAACTCTGCAATTCATCCAGCTAGGCATGGAAGGGAATAAGGAAGGCATGGAAGGCAATAAGGAAGTCATGGAAGGGAATAAGGAAAGCATGGAACTGCAGCAAGAGCACAAAGATTCTAGGATACTATGAGCAAGTGGGGTGGAAGGGTGCTCTCCTGAGCTACAGAAGGAATGGTCTGGTGGTTAAGACAAAACATGAGTCCCACTGATTAGAGTTGTCCACAGTCAGCAATGGTGATCTTGCTGGTCTTGCCATTCCTGGACCGAGAGCATTCCATGGCCTCCACAATCTTCATGCCTTCTTTCACCTTGCCAAAGACCACATGCTCTCCATCCAACCACTCATTCTTGGCAGTGCAGATGAAAAACTGTTAACCGTCTGTGTTGGGCCCAGCATTTGCTATGGACAAGATGCCAGAACCTCTGTGTTCTAGGATGAAGTTCTCGTCATCAAATTTCTCCCCATAGATGGACCGGTGCCATTATGGTGTGTGAAGTCACCACCCTGACACATAGACCCTGGAATAATTCTGTGAAAGCAGGAACCCTTATACCCAAATCCTTTCTCTCCAGTGCTCAGAGCACAGAAGTTTTCTGCTGTCTTTGAAATATTGTCTGCAAACAGCTCGATGGAGATGCGGCCCAAGGGTTCACCGTCAATGGCAATTTTGAAGAACACAGTGGAGTTGACCATGGCTGGTAGTACTGGGCTCCTGGCGGCGTCGGCATCTGCTGGCTATGTTTTTTAAAAGGCAGGTTGGTTACGCTTACCCAGGAAGCCTCTGTCTCTGAATTCTGGCCACTCTCACTGTGTTGTGGAGCCCCACCTCCCTGCTTTGGATGAGACTATACTGCCAGGCACCATTCTCAGGGCCATATCCAGCTGTCCCAATAAAATGGGGCCTAATGCTGCTCTTCTGAGAGCTTGGGGGCACTGGGCCCATGCTGCCCTCAGACTTATCAGGACCTGCTGACAGAAGTCCTGTCCCTTGTCCAACCAGCTGAGGACTCAGCTGCTAGGACAATGTCCTCTGTTATTCCACCCTAAGTACCTGCATATTGCCTGGAGTGGTGAGAAATTCTTTAACCATGCGTTTTCCCTACCAGATTTAGGATAAACAAGTGGCAGTATGAAAACTCTGTGAGTCTTTGTCGCTGTGTAGGGATCTAGAGGCTAAACCCTTGTCCTCAACTCCAGAACCAGAAAAATGGTTATCAGTAGAACGGCACAGAGGAAGCAGATGCAGATTATCCTCACAGTGCCATGGCCATGAATGCAGTTGTCCATAGGTTTTGTATATTTTACATCAAACATCAAGCTTGAATGAAGGAACAGGATTTTGACTTTGTGTTTTTAACTTAAAGCATAAGAGGAGATTCTAGGTAAAAGGGCTGTGACCAAATACAGCTGCATTTATATAGTCATGGATCAATTTTATGAAGGATTCTTTAACAACTGAGCTTTGCTTATGGTGTTCTGATCCAGCTCTGTCCCTAAGCCAACTTAAAACCAGATCACTCAGCAATACCCTTTATACAACACTTTTTTTTTTTTAATTTTAATTGAGATTGAGTCTCACTGTGTCACCCAGGAAGAGTGCAGTGGCGTGATCTCAGCTCACCGCAACCTCCGCCTCCTGGGTTCAAGCACTTCTCCCACCTCAGGCTCCCAAGTAGCTGGGATTACAGGCATGTGCCACCACGCGCAGCTAATTTTTTTATTTTTAGTAGGGATGGGGTTTTGCCATGTTGGCCAGGCTAGTCTCAAACTCCTCACCTCAAGTGATCTGCCTGTCTTGGCCTCCCAAAGTGCTGGAATTATAAGCATGAGCCACTGCCCCTGGCCCCTTTATACAACATTTAATAAATGTTGGGCCAGGCACAGTGGCTTATGCTTGTAATCCTAGCACTTTGGGAGGCCAGGAGTTCAAGACCAGCCTGGGCAACATAGTGAGACACTTGTCTCTACAGAAAATTTTTTTTTAAAAAGTAGCTAGGTGTGGTACCACAGCTTATAGTCCCAGCTGCTTGGGAGGCTGAGGCAGGAGGATCACTTGAGCCCAGGAGGTTGAAGCTGCAGTGAGTGGTGACCGTGCCACTGCACTCCAGTCTGAGCAAAATGAGAGACCCTGTCTCAAAAACAAACAAATAAATAAATAAATAAATGAAAATGTCGATTGGTGATTAAAATGATAAGTAATTAGAAAAAAAAGTCCATCTTAAGCCCTGGCCTGTTTTCTGAAGGCATTGTTATTGATTAGGGTTAGGTTGAGCTGCAAGTAACTGAAAACCCAAAATATACATTTTTTTTTTTTTTTATGTCTCTCATCAAAATCTAGGTAAGCAGTCTGGGCTGCTCTAGTGGCTCCACAGTGACCAGGGACCTGCTGCCCTGTGTCTTCTTCCCTCGCCATTCTCATGGAACAGTGTGCCTGTTCCAGTTGAACCATCACATTCACATTCCAGACAGCAGAAAAGTAGGAAAAGTAAGAAAAAGAACATCTTGCCACTTTGAAGAACACTTTTGCTTGTATCCACTGATCATGATTTGGTCCTTCCTGTGTTCACACCTATCACAGTGAGACTGAGAAGAATAAACCTGATTGTGTGCAATCATATACCCGGCCACCGTTTGGGAGTTCTGGTACTGAGGAAGCAGGGAAATGGATGTTGGGAGGGGTAGCTGGATTCTGCTGTGGCCTGACAGAGCCCTCAAACAGCCTCCCTGGCTACTCCTCCCATGAGGTGACAACTAGGGCGCGACCAATGCACGCTTCTTTAGGCCAGATCTGGGTCCTGGCACCCAATACTCCCTTTTGGCAATTGTATCTTCTCCATCAGCTGTTGTAAACCAGACACCGTGGAATCCCTTGGTTTTTTAAGTTACTTTTATTATCCTTTATGTGCACCAATGCAAGCCCAGCCCAGTACAAAAATAGGAAAGGAAGACTCCCCCTAAACACTCAAATTGATCTTTCATACTACATTTCTTTTCTTGCGAATTTATTTTTACTTAATAATAACTTTTTTCGAATCCCAAATACCTTTTCCACTCAAGATCAGTACAAAGTCACACGCAGTAGAACATGAACGGCACAGCTTACCTCATGCGTGTCCATAAACTCACCAAAGGAGCTTGAAGGGAGAACAGCGTCTTTATGATCCGGCGTGTCTTGGTACCTGCTTAAAATCACTTTTGCTTGTGATTTAGCTGGATACACTTTGTATATATACATGAAAAATAATTTTTTTTTTTTTTCTGGGAATGTGTAAGGACTGTTCAACACACAAAATGATTTCATCCTTTTTTGAATGAGAACAGCCCAAAAGTTTCTGGCAAATACACAGAGTTCGTAAGACATGAAATTCAATTATGTCGTGGTACATCAGGTCCGCCTCTTCTCGACTTGCAGTGGATTTTCTTCCTCTGTGAAGGAGCCCCTCCTCCAGCCGCGCGTTCGGAATCCCAGGCCGTCCTTGTAACTGAAGACCCAGTGGTGCGCTGCCCCCTTGTGGGAGGTGTGGGCATTGCAGACCTTTCATCACAAGGACACGGAATTTGTCTTTCAAATGCGGCTGGAAAAATCTGTCCTTTTTTTTAATTCCCAGGAGGCACGCAAGCCAAATTGGACCTTGAGAAAGACATTATCTTACAGAAATGTCTTGCAATAAAAAATGTGATTGTGTTTATGAAAAAAACCCACTTCGTATATAACAGCACTGCATAGCATACCTATGCTTGTTTTTGCAGAATGGGTTTTTTAACCAAAAGTTGGATCGTTAGCTTTATTACAGATTCAGTCTTACTGGTAGCATCACAAGGCTGACTTCCAAGAGAAAATATTTGGCTTTTTATAAAGTGAGGAACTATTTTGTAAAGTAAATAGTACATGCCTCTATCTTCCACCAACCATTTATTCTGCAAGTTCTGATTTTAATGAAGTATTTCTCAGAGTAAGGACTTCTTTATACCATCACTAAACTTCCTGCAGGAATTTTAGAATTTCTCCCCATCTTCTTTGCTTTCCAGATTCACGTGGGATATAGCCACTTTTTTTTTTTTTTGAGACGGAGTTTTGCTCTTGTTGCCCAGGCTGGAGTGCAATGGCGCAATCTCGGCTAAATGCAACCTCTGCCTCCCAGGTTCAAGCAATTCTCCTGCCTCAGCCTCCCGAGTAGCTGGGATTACAGGCATCCACCACCATCCCCGCCTAATTTTGTATTTTAGTAGAGACGGGATTTCTCCATGTTGGTCAGGCTGTTCTCGAACTTCTGACCTCAGGTGATCCGCCTGCCTCCGTCTCCCGGAGTGCTGGGATTACAGGCATAAACCACTGTGCCCAGCCATATAGCCACTGTTTTTAAAAGCCATTTCCACACTACCAAGTTAGTGAGTAGCAGCCCTCCACCCGCCCACCTTTGGCTTATGGACCATGCAGCAAAAAGAAGCAACACAAAATAAACTGTGGTCAAAAGAGACTCACAGTTCTCCCTCACACAGGAGGCTGAAGACACTCACACTTCCTCCTTTTAAGTCTTCAACTTTTCTTCTTTGTCACACCCAATGCTTTCATAGTCAGAAAACGTCAGTGCTGGAAGAGGCCCTCGAGAACTCTGCTCTCAATTTCTGCATTTGAAGACGGACCCAGACCCTCATCTCCTGACCCGTCATCCAGTGCTGTTCTCCTGCACCTCCCTGAGGAGTCGCTCAACACTCCAATCCCTCCAAGAAGCTGGGGTGCCTCTCAATTTAACAAGCCAGAAGCCGAGAACTCTATGCAGACAACACCACTGCTCAGAGGTGATAAGGGTAAGCAAATAAACCCCCAGGGAGAAACAGAAGCAGAGTTTTGGCTCTCACCACCCTGTAGATAAACAAGTGTTTGATCTGGGCTGAGCACCTGCCTTATCTGGTGAGAGATAACATTCACACTCAGAGGGAGTCTGTGCTTGCAGCCAACAGGTTTGGTATCCTGCTGAGCACTGACCTGGCCAGCACGGCACAGGGACTGAACTAGGGCTCAGGGACGAGGGACCAGGGGAAATTTTGTTACCACCCAGGGGGAAAGAGAGGGTCTTCCTGCACTCCTAAGAGCTCGTAGGCTAACGGGCACTAAGAAAACAGACAGAGAAGCCTCAGCTGGGGGAGTCCTGATGGCCACAGTTCCCACGAATCCACTATGGGCCACTTAGGGCATGTTATGAATTTTCCAATCTGCTCCATGAAGCTTCCTAGGAAGAATGTCAGAAGCCTTATTTTCTTGCTCACTGTTGAGGTTATGGAAGCTAAAGAAAGCAGTGTATGCCAGGTGCGGTGGCTCACGCCTGTAATCCCGTCACTTTGGGAGGCCAAGGCAGGTGGATCACTTGAGGCCAGGAGTTTGAGACCAGCCTGGCCAACATGGTGAAACCCCATCTCTACTAAAAATACAAAAAATTAGCTGCATGTGGTGGCACATGCCTGTAGTCCTAGCTACTCAGGAGGCTGAGGCAGGAGAATCGCTTGAACCTAGGAGGCAGAGGTTGCAGTGAGCCGAGATCACGCCACTGCATTCCGGCCCGGGTGACAGAGTGAGACTCCATCTCCAATAAAAGGGAAAAGAAAAAGAAGGCAGTGAAGAGTAAACTCAGAGGGAAACCAGTGACCTGTCTCTAGAGTCTTGATCAGGATCACCTTTTGAACATGATACTGTTGACAATAAGAGTAATAATAATAGCTGCTAATATTTGTGGGGCGCTTACTATATTGTTTCTCATATGTTATATTTTTAAATCCCCACCACAAAACTCTGGGGTAAGTGCTATTGTTTGTTGTTGTTGTTTTGAGATGGAGTCACTGTGTTGCCCAGGCTGGAGTGCAGTGGCATGATCTCAGCTCACTCCAACCTCCACCACCCCGGTTCAAGTGATGCTCCTGCCTCAGCCTCTGGAGTAGCCGGGATTACAGGCATTAGCCACCATGTCCGGCTAATTTTTGTATTTTTGGTAGAGATGGGGTTTCACCATGTTGGTCAGGCTGGTCTTGAATTCCTAACCTCAGGTGATCCACCTGCCTTGGCCTCCCAAAGTGGTAGGATTACAGGCATGATAATAAACTCTTAACCTCACCATTTTTGTATAGAAGTGGAGGTTGTCAGAGCACTTTTTTCATCTATTTTGCTACTTGGGCTTAAGGATGAAAGTCCTATCACAAACTGTTGTCACAGTGAATGTTGGCATTCGGAAGGTGCTGGGGAGAACAGGGAGAGAGCACAGGAGCCTGAAAGGGGAGGAGAGGGAAGGGATTTCCACACACTCTCGCCACAGCCTGTTACTGTCTCCGTGGCAGCAGGGCAGCAGGTTGCCTCCCCATGTCCACTCTCCCCTCCCACCTCAACAACAGGAGCCCATTTTAATCACAGCACAGAATAAAGACTATATTTCCCAGTCTCCCTATCAGCAAGGTGTGGACACTGTGGAGCATGAGGAGGGGCCTGTTGTTCAGAGGTGTAAAAACAAAAGCATAAGGAGTCTGTCGCTGGTGATTTGGGAGCCACCATACTTGCCCTAGGCTGTTTACCTTGACGACTTTGACAATAGACAAAAATACTTTTTCTTGTTTAAGCCAATGAGAGGTTAGGCTTTGCCTTGTATGCATGGGTGACTGTCTTCCTCCGTTTTGTGATGCTATAAAAGAATACCTGAGGCTGGATAATTTATAAAAGAAAGACGTTTATTTAGCTCACAGTGCTGCTGGCTGAGAAGTTCGAGGACACAGTCCTGGCTTCTGGTGAGGGCCCTTATTCATGCTGCCTCCCAAGATGGTGGAGAAGGTCAAAGGGGAAGCAGACACACAAGAAGAGAGGGAAAACCGAAGGGCTCCTGACTTTATAACAACCCACTCTCAGGGGAACGATTCCATCCCCATGGGAACTCATTCAGTCTCACAAGAGACAGAGCTCACTACTGGGAGAAGAGCACCAAGCCATTTATGAGGGATCCACCGCTATCGCCCAGACACTTCCCACCGGACCCGATACCCCAACAGCACCGCATCAGGGCTCAAATTGCAACATGAGCTTTGGTGGTGACAAACCAACCATAGCTAAACCATAGCAGACACCTAATCCTAACGACTAGCTACCCACTTGTAAAAATTTTTAAAGAGGGGAAACAGGCTCAGTAAAAGTAAGTAGCTGTCCAAAGACATGTAACTATGAGCTGGCAGCATTCGGTTTTGAATCTGTCTGTCTGATCCAAGACTTCATCTTTCCAGCATAGTCTGTACTAACAAATGTAATTGGAACATGCGTGTATGTGGTGCTTTATAATTTGTAAGTATTTTCTTATATATTATGGAATGTGTACAGTTGGAATTTTTTGGCTGCAAGCAACAGAAATAGACTCTGAATAACTTACATGAAAGAGGACTCGTAGGAAGATTTAGGGTAGTAAATTAGCAGGGATCAATTAGAGAAGCAAAGCACTAGGAATTTCTTTTTCTTTTCTTTTCTTTTTTTTTCTTTTCTTTTTTTTTAGGCAGAGTCTTGCTTCTTCACCCAGGCTGAAATGCAATGGTGCCATCTTGGCTCACCGCAACCTCCACCTCCCAGGTTCAAGCAATTCTCCTGCCTCAGCCTCCCAAGTAGCTGTGATTACAGGCATGTGCCAGCACCCCTGGCTAATTTTTGTATTTTTAGTAGAGTTGGGGTTTCACCATGTTGGCCAGGCTGGTCTCAAACTCTTGACCTCAAGTGATCCACCCACCTTGGCTGCCCAAAGTGCTGGGATTACAGGTGTGAGCCACCGCAACTGGCCTCTTTCTTTTTTTTTTTTTAATAACATAATGGGTATTTACTATAGGACTTCTCATCAGGAGGATGTTACTCAGTTAATATAAAGTTGTTTTCTTAACATTAAATCTCTTTTCTATGTCAATGTCTATAGCGTTTTTTCTGTTTTTTAAAATTATTTATTTATTTATTTTTATTTTTATTTTTTGAGACGGAGTCTTGCTCTGTAGCCCAGGCTGGAGTGGTGCAGTGGTGCAATCTCGGCTCACTGCAAGTTCCACCTCCCAGATCCGGGTCCCAGTTCAAGCAATTCTCCTGCCTCAGCCTCCCGAGTAGCTGGGATTACAGGTGTGTGCCACCATGCCCAGCTAATTATTGTATTTTTAGTAGAGATGGGGTTTCACCATGTTGGCCAGGATGGTCTTGAACTCCTGAGCTCATGATCCACCCGTCTTGGCTTCCCAAAGTGCTGGGATTACAGGCATGAGCCACTGTGCCCGGCCTATAGTGTTTTTTTTTTTTTTTTAAAATTTGATTGACAAGTGGTTCCATAGTACTTATTTATGAATAAGCACAGTAAGATGAGGTAGATTTCAAGTCTACCCTGTTAGCGTTGGATTTTCTTTTTCTATCTATTTTTCAGACAAATGGTATTCCTTTCCAATTTGTGTTTTTTTCTATATTTACTA